CGTACGAACCAGTACTTCCATAACCACTACCACCACCCAATACACTGCTTACTGTTAAACATAAAAATGAATAATTAAAAAGACATTATAATTACTAGTTTTCGAAAAAAGAACTGTATCAGAAATCTTACCGAGTTCTGGCGTGCTTGTTAGTGCAGTATGGTGATCCGCTGATGTGCTTGAGTGAGACGAATGTGCAGCAGGGTAACTACCAACACCACTACTGCTACTACTATCCTTGTCGTACGTATGTTTTTGAAGGACTCTAATCATTGCATCCCTTTCAGCTAATTTCGATTCTAGATCCTTCATTCTATGAAACAGACAAGCGTTGGTATTACTGTAATTCTATTTAAATGACAAAAGGTATAAAAAGATTATATGAAATAAAAATAATATTACCTAGATTCAAAATCAGCCAATTTTTTCTGTGCCGCGTGTACTTCATCCATGTGTCTCATTTTCTCAGAACGTGCCTCTGCAATTAATTTCTCAGCGTCTTGACTCGTCTTCTCTAATGCAGCTATCTTGGCGTCCCTGATTGGTCAGATAAATAAATTGTAATTAATGTGCATATGACAAAAAATGTATTAAGCGAGCAAACTTACTTTGGTAGACTGGCTGCATCAATTGCCGCTTGCCTTAGTGCACTTTCTTCGAGATAACGTTGCTCCCATTTTGCAACGTCACCCTCGAGTGACATAATTTTTTCATCTCTTTCGCGTATTCGTCGTTTTAATTCTGCGATCGTTTCTCCATTGGAGGATTGTTCATTACCATTAGCACCACCGCCACCGCCACCACCGCCTTCTCTTAATTCCCGTTCTAATTGACCTCTCAACTGTCTTTCTGTTTCTTCTCTTCTGTCACTGGACGCTTGAAGAGAAGACAAAGCTCGTTGAAGTTGGCCTACCCTTTCTACGTATACTTGTTTCTTCCGACACTGTAAGAAACGAATGTAACAAACAACTTACAAACAAACAATTTACTGGAACATAAAAAAATATTACCTCTTCTTCAAGGCGTACAACGTTGCCTTGTGCGTTAGTAAGAGCAGTATCTAAAATATCTATGTGTGTACGTTGTTCTTGTAACGTTGCTCGCTGTGCTGCTAATTCGATTTCCTGCCTTTCTTTCGCCGCGGCTAATTCTTTATCTAGTATAAATATCGGTAGGGTTAAAATAATATTTTTATCAACGAGACATTAACGAATAATAAAATTTACATACTTTGTGTAATCAATTGACCAATTAATAATTCTCGTTGCGTTAATTCCTTTCTCATAGATTCTACGATCGGAGGACTATCGGTACGTGCCGATAATAAATCTATTTGATCTCTCAATGCACGATTTAATTCGGTTAATCGTCTGCAGTCATTTTGTAACCTCAGTCTAGCAGCTCGTTCCAGTTTCTCTCTTCGTTCACTTGACGCAGCCAATTCCTCATGAGCCCTGTGTACCTTCGCGATCTCTTGTTCCAACTTTTGAGATTTAGCAACTTTGTTATAGCATCGTTCTAATTCTAATTTTAAGGCACTGTTCTCCTGGATTACAATTTGTATCATCTCTGATGGTGGCCAAATTTCACCCGTTGCAGATTCTGTCTCCTCTCTTCCTTTCGTTTGAGGTCTATGAAAAATAAAATACTATTTACAAAAAGCGATCATTAGAAGTGAAATAACTTGAAGAAAATCGGTTTAAATAAATCACCGTGGAGAAGTTGCCCGCAAATTGTAATTATCCATATCTGGTTTGCCTATTCTAGATAAATCAGGTTGTGATCTTGATAATGTCAATTTTTCCATAGGCCCAAGAAGTCGAGATTTATTTTTTAGTGGTAGCAGAACAGACATATACGAAGGTGGTGGTCTATCTTCTGATTCACTGTCATTCTGTTTTCCTCTATCACCATCTCTCATTCTCATATCAATATTTCCTCCATTATTAGTTAGCTTGCTATAAGATGGTACTTTAACTTCTTTTGCAAGATGTTTTAATACCTGCTTAATTTAAACGAAATAAAATAACAAACATGAAGAATTAATCTCATTTAATAAACTGTATCATAATAATATAAAAATATTAACAATATTCATTTGTTAAACATATATTCCAATACTACTAAAATAATCACCTGTGACTGACTAAGATAATCATCTGGTATATCTGTAATTTCTTGACATCCCCCATTATTAGGTTGCTCATAAACATGATCTTCATGAGATAAATTCGATAAAGACTGCATAGTAGGGCTATTCGAATGTCCTTTACCACCACCGTCACAATATAAGTAACCCATATCTCCATGTTCTCTTACTACACCTGACAACCTAAAATTAAACATTGATATATAATTCATAAATATTTACTAAAGATTATAAAAATAAGAATTTTTCTTCAAAGTATATATTACCTTCCAGATGGTACCCATGAATTATCATCATTAGCACTGTGTATAATAAGTGTGTTGTAAGAGCTTGTAGACACATCTAAGCTACTTCTATTTGACCCTACACTGGTACGATTACTTAAATTATCCTTCAAACTATTTCTATTAGAACCATTAATGCTGTCTTTAAGGCTATTTCTATTAGAACCATTCAAATTCTCCTTCAAACTGTTTCTGTTTGAACCATTTAAACTATCCTTCAAACTGTTTCTGTTGAGCAGGTTACCCTAGATTGCAATAAAGTAATTTACACTTATGTGACTTAATGGTAGTGATAGCAATTTAAGATATATAAGAATAATATAGTTAGATAACAGACATTAAAAAATGGTCACATGTATCTCAAAGATAATGACAAAGAATGAAAGTATATGATATATAAAAGTAACTAATATTCTTCAAAAATTAAAATATTATAATAAACAACATAAATGTATATTATTTTAATGTGAGTCACTGTTAGAAAAATTATTAGAAACATATATTGTTTAGTAAATAATTACTAACAAATGTTTTCATACTTACTTGTATATTTGGTATATTTTCTTTATGACTGGAAGATCTCGATGGACTTTGCTGCTGATTTTCTTGGCCTTGAGGTTCTTGACGAGCTGTATGTCTTATAACATATCGATCTTCATTAGTTAAGTTCTCATTTGATGTTGATACATCAGTTTCACTACCACTCAAACTTTGTGGAAGACCACCTATTAAATATATATCATGTATTTTGAAAAATACAACTTTTCATAGATTAAGATTTTGTTCATTTAAAAAATCTTAGAAACAATAAAAAATATCAAGCACAAATATTATAAAACTTGTCTTGTACCTTGCATTGATAGTTGCTTCCTTTGTATATTATTATTTGAAAAAGGTAAGAATCTGCTACCTTGCTGCAGAGAACTCATTTTTCTATTGTTTCATTTACACCTGTTCTATTTAATCTGCAAATATATAGAATTAATTTTTTTCAATCGTTCAAGAAATACCAAAGAACAGTTTGTTTATATGTAATCTCTACATGAATGTGTTATTCTAATATGCATATCACATGGATTAATAATTCATTGCATGACTAAATAAATAGATTTTGCAAAGATTAATTTATTTTCCTTTCAACATGCTTTTTGCACACTCGTACATACAATGTTAAGAAAATTAACAATGAAAGATCTATATTTACAAGCTTTTAGGAAACATGGATTTATAACATGCCTTATTTATAATATTCTTTGATAAAACGTGTTTTTATAATGTATTTTAACCAATATTTAGAAGCACATCACATCGAAACACGTCGAAAAGGCGAATGGAAATAGATACGAACAATGCCCACAAATTAATCACTCTCACATCTCTCAAAGTTAAAAACCAGTGGGAACGTAAACCTATTCATGCATTCTTCTATTTGACACTACGCGGCACTCGAAAACGAGGAACGAAGACAGAATTATCAGAAGTCAACGTATAAGAAAGAGACAACGATGTTATAGTAATGGTAAAGCAGAGCGCTCTGACAGAGGTGTCAACACTCTGGAATGTTGATAATCCGGAGATATTGAATTTTTCGTTGATGCGTAACATCGTAGTGGGATAGTATTCGAGGTCTCACGAACGCGACTCATTGATATATGCGTGTTTGCAACACCGAAAACGATCCTGTTGCACACGGTTTTTAATATTTTTACACGTTGCTGAACTTGAAGGGCTGTATAAATAAACAAAAGAATATACTCGAACTAGAATCCAACGAGGATTTTTCACATGCCGCACTACAGGAATGTAAGCAGATGGTCCTAACGAATGGACGTCCGATTACTCACATTATGCGAAAGTGCAAAAACAGGACGAGTGTCGTAATTATTTCAATAAATTAATACACTTTACTGCTCCATGCACGAGAAATAAAAATTGTTAGTTCCCGCATTCCTCATCAGGGTGCGACGTATACGAAAGCGGGATACGCTCTTCCTGACTCTTCTAAACTTTCCCAACTTTTTTCTTCATCTGCAGATGAATCACTGAAAAGCAATGTACGCAGAATATCATCTTGGTATCTGTTTTTCATATCATTGCATGATAAATCTAATTTATTTTTCTTTTCTTACAGATCGAACAAAGTTTTATACTTTATTCTTAAGTAAGATATTTAAGTCAGGTTCATTGCGTTCTGACGATATAAGCAATTTAAATGCACACGACAGATTTTTGCGATAGGCTTTTATTTCATTTTCGAATAATTCTTATTTCAAATTAAACACGCTGTTGTGTACATAAAAATATATTTGATGTAAAATTCAATTAAATGAAAAGAATTTTTATCGTTTTAGTTATTTAATATATAATCTCTGATATAAGTACTTAATTAAGTCGCGTCCATTGGTATATGATAGCACGCAATAAAAATTTGCATTAAGCGATATTGTTATCTTTAAGTCTTTTGAAAAATATGGTTATATTACGGCGATGAATCATTTCGAAGATTTGATGAGAATATTATGATATTTATACAAATAATAATCTTTTTCTAGAACACAATTTGACTTACAGTATCTTTAGATGTATGTACTGTTTGATACTATGTTGCAACCTAAGTTGTATAAAATTCATACTGTGTGATTGTGAGTGGATCAGGAAGTAATTATGAATTTTAATAAATTACGACAATGCTATAAATTTCTTTCTTTCAAATCATTACATCAAAGTTCATATGTACCATTACGAAACCAAAAACCATTTATTTATGATAAATTGTTGAAAATTGCTTCATATAGGATATTTTTTCATGGTAATCTACAAAAAATATTAAAAAAGGAGCCTGTAAACTTATTGACAATTCCGTAAAGAATATAATGCGTGATTTAACTTTCTTGTTTTCGTGATTTTTAAAGAAGTTTGTAATTAAAAATAAGATGTTTTACTGTAAATATACGATTTCATTTACGATATATCAAACATATTGTTTTTTAGTAAAACCAACTTTACAGTTTTCAACCTCAATACTTCATAATACAGATGTTAAAACCATGTCTGGAGATGATAAAATTTGCCTTAATGTTGATTATAATGAGATTCTAAAAGCTCAAAATGATAGTAGTGTTTTAATCATCGATGTCAGGGAAAAGGAAGAAATTGATGAAACTGGAAAGCTACCTGGAAGTATTCATATACCAAGTATGTTCCAATATCGTCAAAATCATGCTTTAGAGTATTAGGTAGTTATTGTTGAATTTTATTATTATAGTGGGAGATGTTGCAAATACATTGTCGAGCCTTTCTGAGAAAGATTTTAAAGAGAGATTTAAGAAAGAAAAACCTTCCAAAAATACGAAGATCATATTAAGTTGTAGATCTGGGAAAAGAAGTGGCATGGTTCAAGAAGAAATTCGAAAGCTTGGATATGAAAAGTATATTATATTATAAAAGTATACCTACACATGTTTTACAGATGTATTAATTAAACCTATTTATTTATATTTTAGTGCATACAATTATGTTGGAGGATGGCTAGATTGGGAAAGCAATCAGAAAGTATAAGCTATTGTTATAATTATTTTTACATGAGTAGATATATTTACTTATAAATATTAGTAAACACTTATATATAATTTCTTAACTTACAATAATAAACTGTTATTAAATGTTTAAAATGAAAATTTTTTAAGCTAATCCTCATTGATAAATAATATCATATGATATATAATCAATTAAGATAATATATTTAGATCTATTTCCATATATGTATATATCTACATGCGTATAAATAATATTTTACAATGTGTTCAATTCTTATATACACTTTCATACATAACTTCTTGTTATGTTAAATAAGATGAAAATTATATATCAAATAATTACATTACTTTTTCTTCTGTTCTTGGGCTAATTTCTGATTAACCATCTCTCTGAATTGCCCCAAAATAAGATTTTCTCTCTTCTGTCGTTCTTCTTTACTAAACATAGCCAATGCTCGTTTCTCATCAGCAGAATAAATTTGGTTTTCCTTACGGATACGAACAGCTTCCATCCGCCGATGTCTGAGAAAAAAATAACATCAATGTTAGAATAAATTTATTTTCCTAAACTTTAGTAATTTTCAAACTATGAAAATAAATTTTCAAAGGATATCTTACCTGCTACCACTCATAACATAACCAACAGATTCATATGCGGCTATCTCTTCTGAAGTCAGACCAATTTCACCTCTTCTAGGTATACGTTTTCCTTCTGCAACGTATGCAGCCATAGCAGCACCTTCGCCAGGTAAAAGAGCCTTGCCAAAATCTTTAGCAGATAATGTCACATGTGGCTTTTGAACTGGTCCCACTACTTCATCACCACTCTCATCTGAACTTGATCCCTTTTTAACCTTTGCTTTATCATTAATTCCATTCTTTTCCACCCATTCTAATTCCTCAGGTTCGCTGTCGGAGCTACTATCTGACCTTTTCTTTTTCCGTTTCTTCTTTTTGTCTTTCTTAGCTTTCTTTTCTTTCTTTAGTTTTTTACTTTTCTAAAACAATGATAAAAAACATTTATTATAACTTACAAGAAAAGTCTGTAACAAATAATATTATAAAGAAACTAATTTTTACATATACAAAATATAATAAGAAAGGTATATGGAAGTACGAAAATAAATTTACTTATTAAATTAATGAGAAGTTAAACTATGTTTTCATACCTTCTTCTTCATCTCATGTTTCCTTTTTCTATCTTTTGGTATAATACTGTCTTTGTACTTGTTAGTCTCTTCATCTTCGTCAGAACTATGTTAAACACAAAACATTTAACAATTTATAAGAATAAACATATATGTATAATATAATTGATGTATACTTTGATTACAAAATAAAATATTATAAATTCTTACTCTTCGATTCGTGTTGGTGATTTTCCCCAAATTCTATCAACACCACATAACCCAATTTGCTCTCTATCCCGTCTCCGTGCGTCCATTTTTTGCATCTGCTTTTATTTCTTGTTTACAAGCTATGACAGATAGGGAATGAGAGTGCTAACTGTTATGGTTCTGGTTGTTTCAGGATTAATGCTGCACCATACGGCCAAATGCTGAACCACGAAACACTTTAACAATACAAGAACGTATAAAATTAGAGATCTGCTCTGTTTGGTTGCACGCTAGCATAGACAAGAACCTATTAAATTGCACGGTTCTACGAATAACAAAATCGCGTAATAATTTATGTCGAAAAACTATTAGTATCGGACAAACAAATTTTTGGAAGAGTTGAAAAATATAAATTTTTATGTAACTATATTGAAAATCTGCTATCGACTACACAGATAGTGACAAGCAATATTACTCGATCCGACGAAGTAACAATGCAACAATAAAACTTTTATATTCGGTTGATATCACGTACCTTAAATGACTTAACGCTCAACGTGGAGGAGGTTTAATAGATCGAGCGTTAGCGTAATTTGTCATTTTATTTGCACTTGTATACAAATAAATCTGAACACGATGGTTGTAAGATCTCGTTGAGACTGAAATATCACACACGCACAGTACGACGGTCTGTTGATGATTGCCCTAGTATGTCGCTGGTGCTCCCCACCAGCCGTTGGGTCTCGTCCGCCTATTATCACCACCAGTCGTTGGATCTCGTCCGTCCATCATCCCTACTTGACCGGAGATTTTTCCCGACCTTTGAACCCTCAGATTTGCAGCTCGGGGAGGATAGATATAATTCGCAATTTCAAATTTAAAAAAAGGGATAATTATTGTCCGAGTCATATACGGACGATCACTCAAAATCCCGAACAGATAGATTTATTTAGGATGAATTAAACTGGGAATGATGGTTCTTTAACGTGAACTAAATATAGTAATGTGCTATAACTATGACAACTGAATAGTTAATTCACAACTCACAACTAATAGTTTACAACTCCTCACAACTCGACTCTTCACTCACGACTATCTCAACTCGACTTTTCATCACTCGACTCTGAACTCACAATTCCTCCACTCGACTCTTCAGGTAACGAACGCCCAATAACGATTTCGAGGTAACGATCCGGTAAAAACTCCCGGACCCTTTTGGCTTAACGGCACTTCAACGTTTTATTGTTTATTATTTATCGTTCACCCGATATTTCTTAGGCTATTTGTCCACGATATTACACTCGATATTACAATCTGACAAATACATCGGACCCCAGATGTGTTTATCGTCGCTAATTTCACTACTAACTTCAACAATGTCCCACCATTTCAAATGATCAGCCGCCGTAAAGGTCGTTTGGGGCCTCTCGTGTTCGCCTTCTCGCTGCACCATATAACGATCGTTTCGTAAAACTTTCGCCACACGGTACATCCCAAGGAACTTCGAGTGGAGCTTTAACTCAGGACCGGCTTGCGTCCTCTTGATCGCCACCAGATCCCCCGTCTTGTATGTTGTCGTCTTCTTGCGTCTCTTGTTAAACGCCCTTCGCGGACAAAAGGTTGGATTGATCACTTGCATTTGCACCACCTGAAATTTTCTCGTAGCTGCCTCATTCTCGCTTTTCATTCGCTCCTTAGAACTTGTGTTCTCTCCATCCTTCATCAGGGTACCAACTATCTTACATTTAAAAGCGGTTTTCTTTGCACGACATTTATGGAATCGCGAACATCAGCCGCTTTCCCTTGTTTCAGCGTCGACACTTCTGAGTCGCTTCGAGTGCGTACAAGAATATCGCCCCACGTATTACCTAGCTCTTCATCTAAAACGAAAGTCGGTTCTCTGACTATCCGCAATTCTACGGGCTCCGAACATGTTTTAATGCGTTCCTGGCTTCGACGATAGACATGCCACGCAGTCTACGTTTACAAATTTGAATTATCTCGTTATCGATCCGAAACTGCTTCGATTTGGCTGCGAAATCATGCTCGAAGATACTAAGGAAACTTTCTACGTTCCACTTTCTGACGTACTCGTGCTAGGTTTTATTTTTTCGACTGTACAGTTTGCACGATATTCTGTAAATCCTACGAAATCCTCATCGCAACCGGTCGTGTTGTCTCCATACGACGCTACCGTGGTTATGTCCGCTGTAACCGATCCGTCTAATAAATTTTTTTTCATGACGATAGTGTCCTCAAGACAAGAAGGACTCGTGGGAAGTGCAACTGCCGTACATTCTTTACTACTTTCCCCGATAGGAACATGAGGAGATCCCCTTTCTTTTTTCGACTACGATCGGGTTTGCAAAGTCAAATTGACACTGATCTATTATTCCGTCTTGCTGAATTTCTACATCTATCTTAAACACCTTCGGGAGTCTATTATCTATTGTATCATATCTATCCTATATGATAAGTTTATTGATCGATAGATCTATTTACGATGGATTAAAGAGGAAATGATGGTTATTTAACGTGAACTAAATAGAATAATGTACTATAACTAAGATAACTAAATAGTTCATTCACAACTCACAACTAATAGTTTACAACAATATGATTCAATACAATATGGTACAATATAGTTCACCCTATATTTCGTAGACCATTTGTCCACGATACTACACTAGTGTGCAACCAAACAGGGCAGATCCCTGACTTTATTAAATACATAGGTTCTTGTACATGCTAACGTGCAACCAAACATGGCAGATCCCTAATTTTATAGGTTCTTGTATATGCTAGCATTTGCCATCTTCAGCACTTGGCCGTATGGTGCAGCACCTGTATTGTGGAACAACTGGTACTACGAGCATGAACACTCTCATTTCTTCTCTGTTATAACAATTTAAAAGGAATATTAAACATCCCTCTGGTTTCAGTCGCAGACACTAAAGGAAAATTGGCAGCATTTACAAAGTTTATTCGCGATGCAATTAAAAGATATATTTTTATCATTCTATCGTTCCATGATTTCAACCGACTTTCGAAAACCTCTTTACATATATAAGAATAAAATATGGAGGTAGAAAAGAAGCGCACATAGTGAAGTGAAAATAATGTCGAAATTTTATTGGTTTTCTTTATGAAACACCCTGGAGTGAATGAATTCCATAATGAATTCCGATGATGTAGTATCAAAATGTGTTTTTAATAAATATCAATAAAAAATACATTACACAAAATATCTACAATGATTACAAAGATCGATATAAAATTACATGTCGCTGGACAGCACCACCATCCAAGATTTATAAATGTACAAAGTAGCAATTGTCATAGTTTAATCGTATTGTTAGTAATATCTATTGTAATTAATAAATATTATAATTATGATCCTTTTTTCCTCGAGTACTCCGATAGAAAAATATCCGTAACAATTCCAGTTGTTAGATTCTAAGCATCATGCATTTCCAAATTAATATAAAGAAATACGTAGCTTAATAACGTACTGCTAGTGAAAATAATTGTAGCTGCGTTAATAATAAATGGGTCCATCGAAATTCAAGGAAGTGTTTTCGTACATTGAGATTCGATAATTAATACTTGCGTAGTAACAGAGATATGACAAGGCACTCTTAACAAGCCCATTCTTTTCAGCTTTACTTTTTTTTTTTTTTTTTGTGAAAATCTTATGCACGTTCAATGTTACGCCTCAAAAGATACGTATAATAATTCTTGACATTAATTTCTGACATCGTAATATTTTTATCACTCATACGCTTGGGTTAAATTTATTACATCAGTCGTAATTATTTCAAAAACTTTATGTGTTTTAATCAAATCCTCAACAACGAACTATTCGACAATAAAAAGATATAAAAACTTTTGTAGTAAATTATTTCTTTCTCAATGAATTTACTTTATGTAATTTTTATCGTTGTGTCGCATCTCAAATAATTATCAGCGATAGTCTATATAACAGAAAGATTATATACACATAAAGATTTTGCTTCAACAAAAATTCCGTGCCATCGCATATTTTCCTACCAAGTCTTCGTCATTTGTGAATTACAGAATTGAAACAATAATTGGAAATATAGCGTACAGAATTGTAAATTTCATCATTGTTTTCTTACGATTACATTACCTTAATACTTTCTTGTATTGTCGAGAAATATTGTATAAATACAATGAAGTAACTGATTAACGCCATTACGGGGCATACTATTGTATTCGTTGGAATATAGAAGCACCATCGATTTGCGATGTAATCGTTACGAGAAAAAAAAGTTTTCGTAAAAATTACAACGCTGAATATCAGATCAAGGAAGATATTGAATGACTGCAAACGCTTTAATATATTCTATAAAAGTTATCTTCTTATATATGTTTTTAGATCAATAAATTTTACTTCCTTTGCAGATATATCTTTCTCTCTCCTTTCTTTAAATCAATTTTCTAAGTAAAATCGAATTATTAAGAAAATTTAGCTGATTGATTTCAATTGATTTATGAAACGAGTCATTCATTATTTTCAATAAATATTTATCCGCTAAGTAACAAAAATTGTTACTTGCTCAAAGTTTTGCAATCAGCCAATATTCCTGACACTTTGACTAAATATTTATCTACAATTTTCTTATTTCATAGCTCAGTTAAATAAATACATTTCGTCGAATTACAGATTGTTCCAAGGAAAGTGTCCGAGAAAAGTTATTTTAAAACGCTTAACGTTCAAGATAAGATCTTGGGCATTCTCCTTGAGGTTTTGCTCATACCTTCAGCAAGAAAGCTCTAGTCAGAAAAGCACTTTGTCTCTTATTATTTAGTGTTATTTTCGTATTTATTCAACGCCACGAACTTTAAAATATTTCTAGTTCTCGTGATTTTCTACTTTGCATACGTATGTAATTTTTAGAAATTCAATTCATACTCTCGCTAGGCAACTTTATTCTGTATAGTGGTTACGTTATTGTTACGCACTAATACTGTTCCGTCTAAAGTGACGTTATACATTATAAATTAATTGAGTAAATCGTTTTAAAATCATTGTTACAGTAATCAAAACAGTTTGTATGTTCGTCGGATTATAATAAAATTTCTCTGTAGAACAAATCTTTACACTTTGTACTAAAATATGTAAAAGCCACGTAGATTAAAATGGAGGATTTTGTACGATTTTGTACGTGATTCAAGTTCGAAGGAAAACTAAAAGTATTTCCTTTTAATAAATTAAAAGTCGGTTTAAAGAATTGTATAAAATCGTCGAACTTCGTTCATATTTTACACACGATTATGTACAAAAACGAATCACTATTGTGTATGCGTGTGACTATAAATATCGAGCATTACAGTAGCGAGACGTTGTAAAAATTTCAGAAATAACAACCTTCGTAATAAGCACTTCGGTATAGTAATAGATCATTGGTATCATCTAGATTTTCATCATCTTAGATTTTCTTCGTTCACTTGTAATACTATTACAAATTGAGGAAGATACACATATCCCTTGCTCTGAAAATTGAAAACGTAAACGAGGAAAGATCGTCTTATACCATACGATAAATAATTAAAATATAAACAGGATTACATGTCTCAAGAATAAAACTTCTCGATACATTGCTTAGTCGATACTTACAATGATCCAAAGCTATTCGAGTATCCATTTTTAAAAAGTGCGCTTTGGTTCGTTATTGATCGACTATGTTAAAATCGG